AATGAGCAGCTAATATCAATGAATATTTATTAAGCATTTATAATACACTAGGCATTGTAAAAAATGCTTTCTGTGCATCCTCATTGCATTGTCACAGTGACAATGAGAGGGAAGCGCTACAGTATTTTCCCATTTTACAGATGAAGCTCTTGGGGCTCAGAGACGTTAAATAACTTGCCCTCTCTCACCAAAGAAGGTGGGAGAGGATATTTAACATCTCTAAGGTTGACTTATGGTAATCACAATGGGTAGACTTCAAAGGAGTCTTTGGTAGAACCTAATTCATTTGTGGAATGCTTAGTAATGAAATTAGTTTGTTACTAACTCAGTCTCTAGGGCTGAAAGTGATGTTTTACTTGATATAAATAATTGAAAAAGTTCCAAGGCTGATGACGCAAATCTTGGCACCAAAAGTTGTGGCCCTTCACCTAATTCTAAGAACTGAGGCAGTTCACCAACTCAGAGGCTCTTGATTAAAGGAGAGACTAGGTGAGTCTAAAGAAGGACTCTACATCCCCGATGTGAGTTTATGCTGCATATTTGTTTTCCTAAACTTCACCCACAGAGACCTATAGCCATTTATCATGATTCGTATGCCTGGAAGAAAGGGAATTAACCAGTCTTTGGTGAGGTAGATTACTAAATATTCACTGAGACCTGACACTAATCCCTAATCTCCGAAGATCACAGACATTACTATGGTCTACCGATTAGAGCAAGGCCTGATGGAGATCAGAGGCCACCCCACACAGCATGGGTGTGGCCCATCTTACATTGAGGGTGAGATCACTCAATGTCTTGGCTATGTGTGGAGGTCTCTAACTCAATTCCCCCAGCCCCTTGCATGGATCCAGATTTTGTCTCTTGCCTCTGTACAACTATGGAAATAGAGGTTCCAATCACTGGGGATTGGCAGAAGCCCAAGACTTTAGCATAGCTTCACAACTGCTGTAGGTGAGGTCTTTAGCTGGTCTTTAAGCAAGGATAAGTTGGTGTTTGGGATAGAGGAGAATGGGCTGCCTCTGCTGGCAAGTGGAATTTTTTAGGGAGGGAGCATCATTGTACTTACATTCATTCATATTGACCAAAGTGTCCTCCTTCCAATTCTCAGATTTGTGTTTTTACTTCATTTTTTACTTCTAGGGATTTCTTTATTTCTCTTGTCAATTTAGCACATGTATTTAAAAATATGGTTACTTTTCTCAATTTTATCAGCACTTCTAGATGCTTACAAAGAGGAGGAATTATATTACCTACTCTGGGAGATTTTTTTTTAATCATAGTACCAACAGCACTTAGCACTTTTGATTTGTGCCATAAGTAGATACATACATATGTTTTCCATTCTACCAGATGCTAAGTTCCTGGTGCAGGTCAGGGACTGACTGTCTCCTTTATTATTATTATTATTTTATGAGCTCAGTTCAACAAACACATAAGGAATGCTTACTCTGTGTTAGGCACCATGCTGGGTGCTGAGGAAGCAAGTTTGGGGTTCTTGTATTTAATGTTTTCTGTAAGAACAACTCTCTAGCCAGCACCCTCCATTTACTGGGATCTCTCTATGCTAAGTGCTGAAACATCCCATGCGCATTCTGTGTTTTTGCCTATGCTGCTTTTTCACACCTGAAATACCTTCTTCTCCACCCTTTCATAGCCTACTGCTACCTGCTTTTGAAGGATACTAAGCCCCACCGTTTTCATGAATCTTACTCGATCTTGAATATTAGAGAGGCTCTGTCTCTTCTCTTTCTTTGAATATAATATTGCCATTTGTGCTGATGGATGTAAAATGTGAGTACTTATTTCTTCATGTAATTTAATATTGTCAACCTCCCCACTCCAATCCCCTGCTAGATTTCAAGCTCCCTGAAGATGAAGGCTGAATCCTACACCTCACTTGTATCCTCCATGGCTCATTGAACAAGTGCTAGCTACATGGAGACTGCTCAATAAATATTGAATAATTCACGAGGGACTCAATAAATAACGATTGCTTAATTGATTAGCTCCATCAATAAATCTTGCTTTGAACAGAGGTACAGCCATTGAAGATACTCAAAAGGCAATCTGGGTGTGCCTCCGGATAGGGGAAAGCTCCGTGAATATAAGGTCAGGTGGGAGAAGGCAAGTTATTTAACCTCTCTAAGCCCCAGGAGCTTCATCTGTGAAATGGGAAAATATTGTAGTGCTTCCCTCTCATTGTCACTGTGACAATGCAATGAGGATGATGCACAGAAGGCATTAACACACTGCCTAGTCCATTATAAATGCTTAAAAAATATTAATTGATATTAGTTACTCATTGATCTTAAGAACTGGATTGAAAGAAACACCATGAGAAAAATTTCTGTGGCCATAGTACCCAACAGCTTCATGTTTTAGAAGCATTGTACCACTTTACTCCCCTAATATTCTTGTGAGGTCACCAAGAGTGTAAGTAGTCTGTAGAAGTGAGTGGGTCGTAGGGTCATTTGGAGACTGTCGTTGACTCCTGATACATGGTGCCTTCTGTGATCCTGACTGTGATGGGAAGGGTCAGGGAAGGAGTGGTAGATGCATTTACACATCTCGTTGTTCCACACGCATGCCCTAAGAACTTACTAGGTACCAGGCACTGTGCTGGACACCAGGATTTCAGCTGTAAAAGTACAGTCAAAGTCCTTACAAACCATGGAAAGGGGCCATCAGGAGCTATGGATGCTCATGACCAGAGCCCGTTACTCAGTCTGTTGGAGGAGAGGCTGTCAGGAAAGACTTCCTAGAGGAAGTGACACTTGGGATGAGACCAAATAGATGAGATGGGAGTGATGTGGGACCCCCCCACAGCAGCTGCCGTAGGGGTGTAAGATGGAGAAGACAGTGTGTCCATGGCTGTATCAGACCCAGCCCGGGGACTAAGCTACAGTCATGGATGTTCTGGCTGTGCCTCCTGTGCAATGGAATCAGGAGGTTAGCAGCTCAAAGAAATGCCTCCACTCAGGATCTCTGCATCCCCTCTCTCTCCTTCCTGGGCCACTCAGCCACCTCCTGGGAGAGAGAATACAGAAAGCTGATTTCTCCCCACCTGATGCTTGAAACGGGAGGAGGGAAGAAGAGAAGGTGACTGCCTGGATCTCTTACTTGGGATGGAGTGTTGTCATGGAAACAACTTTTCACCCTAGGATTTTTGGGGGCTGTCAAGAAGTGACAACCAGATCTGGGACACTGGCTGCAGAGGCCACGAAAGGCCATGAGAGGTGATTTCCCACCTGCCTTCTTCCTCCAGAGCTTACCACTTGCAGCAGTCTCTTTTACCCCACCCCCAACCCACATACATCCTCTTGTCACATAAACATCTCCTTCAGTGGTACCTACTGACTTTTAGCCTTCTAAACCAGAAAGAAAAACAGTGATGAGTTACCAGTCTACAGCATTTCACCCACATTTATCTCATTTAATACTCTTAACGACCTTGAAATTCATTCATTCATTCCTATAACAAATATGTATCAAGGACCAACTCTATACTAGGTGTAAGCTTTATTATGCTATTGTCATCTTATGAATGAGGGTATGCAGCCTCAGAAAGGTTAAGTGACCTACCTTGGGTCACACACTGAGTAAGTAATAAAGTCAATGAACAGATTATAGAGATCAAGTCAGCTGAGCTAACTTCAAATACTTTTTCCGGTATAGTGGAAAACACTTTTCTAATTAATTGGTCTTTGGATTATTCCATATGGAGTTTTATGAAAAAAAAGAATAAAAAATTCTGGGCATGCCAAGCAAACAATGGCTAAGTGCTTTCATCAAAGAGTTCATTGGCAAATTACATTCATTACCTATCTACCCTATTGGGAACCAAACAAAACAAAAACGTGAAGTCAAGTCCTTTGTCTTTCTTCAATGCCTACTCCCGTCACTCTTTCCAAGAAAGGCTCTGATACTTACACAGAGGTATAAGCAACAAAAATACCTTGATCAAGACCAGCCTGGCCAACATGGTGAAACTCCATCTTTACTAAAAATACAAAAATCAGCTGGGTGTGGTGATAGGTGCCTATAATCCCAGCTACTCAGGAGGCTGAGGCAGGAGAATCGCTTGAACCTGAAAGGCAGAGGTGCAGTGAGGCGAGATCACACCACTGCGTTCCAGCCTGGGCAAGACAGTGAGGCTCTATCTCAAAAAAAAAAAAAAAAAAAAAGCTTGAAATGCTGCCCCATCATGGATGAGAATTGTGAGTATTATGTCCTGCAAGGGTGAGGCTAGAACACTTGCTGCCATTCCCACAGTGGAGGTCCGCTTTTGCAAACTCAGCAATAATGGAAAGCACCTGTTCAGTGTTAGGCATGGTAGAAATTTGTGGGGGAGGGAGAAATGCAGAACCCACAAGCCATGTTGTGTTGGAAGAGAGAGAAAGTAAAAAGTTTTAAACACCATGGTGTCATAAAACCAGCCAGAAGAACTGATTGTGGGATTAAGAGTGACTAAATTGTTGGCCAGACACGGTGGCTCATGCCTGTAATCCCAGCACTTTGGGAGGCTGAGGCGGGTGAATCACGAGGTCAGGAGTTCAAGACCAGCCTGACCAACGTGGTGAAACCCCATCTCTCCTAAAAATACAAAAATTAGCTGACTGTGGTGGCACATGCCTGTAGTCCCAGCTACTCGAGACTGAGGCAAGAGAATTGCTTGAGCCCGGGAGGCAGAGGCTGCAGTGAGCTGAGATCACCCCACTGCACTCCATCCTGGGCAACAGAGCGAGACTTTGTCTCCAAATAAAGAGTGACTACATTGTCACGTTCGCTTTTTCCTTTTCTAACCCCCTCCGTGCACGTGCAAACCCATTAGAAAAGCAACAAGCAGGGCTGGTGAAGGAATCAGGGGGAAGGCTTCTGTCATACTCTGTCTCCCACATAGGAGCATGGTCCCCAAGTTTTAAGTCTTACTGCTGCCACTTTCTGATTGAGTGTCTTTTAGCAATTTACACTCTGAGTCACAATTTTCTCATCTGCAGAATGAGTGTAATAGCAGCCTTGCAGAGTCATCATGAGGACCCAGTGTAACCATCTGCACATGAGACAGGAGCAGCCAGCACCACGGAACAAGGTAAGGTTTGGAGGGAAAGAGCCCCTGCTCAGGACATGCCTCTACACACTGAGCTATGTGACCATCAGAAACTCACCACACCTCCAGCCTCATCCACCTCACTTTTCACATGAGAAAAGTAACAAACTTATGCTTTGTTGGAATCAAAGGCGATAACAAGTAAATGTAATAATGCTGTTAAACTGTCAAGTCCTATTCAGATGAAAAGATACACCAACACCTTTCTCCTAAGCATGGCATTGTTCCTCCGTGAATACCTACAATCAAAGTTTTCCAGGCCTCATGTATGCACTGCCAGTGCCAGTGCTGGGGTATTACAAAGGAGCAGAAGTTGTGGGCCCCTCCCGGCTGAAGAATAACATCAAGGTAACCCTAAGCAGGATGTGAGGACGGTTTAGACTGCACTGTCTCAGTGACATGCTGAGGTAAGGAGGAGGCACAGGATGTGGGAAAGGCCTGTAGATGAGGCCATGGAGGATCTGAGGCTGTGACGGGTCCAGGAGGATGAGCATCCTAGGTGTCCCAGCCTGAATGCCTCCAGAGGCAGACAAACGCTGGGCAAAAGGAGTTCGCATGAGAGATGCGCAGATGTTCTCATCAAGCCCAAGGGAGAGTAAGAATGTGAGTCAGGACAGGCAGCAAGGCCCAGAAAGCGTCCATTGTTGTGCGAGCCACCCCTGTTTGCAACTGGACTCAACCCTGCCGAGGGGCCAGGAAGCTGTGGTGTATATCTGCCCATTCCAGTGTCGCATAGAATTGACAGTGCTTCCTGCCAGGAGCTTTCTGACATTCCCTTGGCCGGAGAATGTCCTCAGGCCAGGAGACACAGAGAGCTGAGGACTGCAGGCTGGTAGGCCGAGGGGATACGAATGGGGCACCGGTAGCATCTGCTAGCTTTGGCAGATGGGAGCTAGGGCCACTCCATGCTAAGGGACAGCATGAACAAAAGGAAGAAGATGGGTTCAGTGAGGAGCTCGCCACGCTTGGCTCCAGAGGGAGAGAGTATTTGAAATTGGGACTATCCACAGAAATCACCAAATATATGAGGGGCAGCAAGGAAACTCTAAGAGGGTAAAGTGGGCAGCAGTGTGGAGCTGCTGGGCACCACTGATGGTGGGAGGTGTTACAGAGGGAAATGCCTCTTGTTCTGGGGTGATGAGCTTCTTGCAGCACCGGCTGGGCCCTGCAGTTGGACAGTGGTGACCGGATGAGTGGCCAGGCATGGTTCCACTCAATGCTGGTGAATGAGCTCTCCCCTGGCAGTTTGCAAAGCTCAGGCCCACAGCTCACTGTGGAACTGGAAGTGCCACAGCACCCACCCCTGCCGCCAAGCCATGCCCCACTTCTGCTGCTAAATGGAGAAAGGACAGAGCCTACATTAGAAACCAGAGACCTGACAAAGTGGGTGGGACAGGAGGTTCCTGGCAAGCAGACAGACAGAACTATAGAATGCCATGGGAGAAAGGAAGGTGGCTGGTCTTTTGGTCAGAAGCGCCGGCTGGATGTGGAGCACTGCTACAGTGACCGGCACTGCCACCACTCTGAGCAGCAACTCTCCCAGACCCTCCTTCACCTGCAACTCATCCCACTGGCTGCTCCTCTTGAATGGCTGGGGCGAGAGGGATACTGCATGCGATGGGACTGATAAACCGATTCAAATAGCAATAGACTCACTCACCGATACTGTCTCATTGAAACACATTGCTCATTTATTCCCCTTCATCAGCCTTTGAGACACAGTCATTATTTTCCAGATGAGCTAAGGGAAGCCCGGAGAGATCAAGTGACCTGCTCAAGGGTATTTGGCTGCTGGGGGCTGAACCCTCTCATTGCAACCAGGTTCATTTGGCTCCAAGTCCTGTGTGCTCTTTATGAAATCATAGCAAGGCCTGGACTAGGGTGAGAAAGGACAGGTGTCTACGAGGCGGGACTTAAGGAGGCGCTGGCCCTCAGGGGCATGCAAGGGCAGGGTGAGCACCTGAGAGTGAGGGCCTCCTTAAAGTCTGCGGTCCAGGGTCCTTTAGTCCCCTAATCCCAGAGCGGAACAGAAAACCTTCAAAGCCAGCTGCTGCCTGAAGAGCCTCAGACTTACTCCCCTGGGGCAACAAAGCGGTTTTCTTTACCCACAGGGCCCTGGAGTGCTGACTGGGAGATGGGGCTGTCAGGGACTCATGGGGAAGAATAGCACATTTGCTACAAACTCATTCAGCTTAGTTTTACCCTGTGGCTGCCTCTGTAGTGTCATTTGTGACACCAGGAATGTGTTCCATACACACTGAATAGCTTCTCTTCCCATTCGTGCCTGTGCCTGGAACTATACAATCATTCATTCATTAATTCATTCATTTATTTGTAGCCTTCCTCTTCATATAGGCTTAGAGAGCCACTACTCGAAGTCAAGCCTTATGTCAGGCAGCAGAGATACTGAGGTGAGGTTGAAGAAAACACACGGGTTTCTCCTCTCATGGACTCCAATGACACGGTAATTAGAAGTCATTAGCAGATTGCTCCCAGCAAGTGGAAAGCAGTGAGAATTCTGAACCAAGCCTTCTCTGGATTTCAGGGAAGTCCCTCTAAGGAAGTGGTGTCTAAACTGGAACTCCACTGCCTCTTGTATGTCTACCCTGCAGTTCCTACATTTAAGAGTTTCTGGGAACATCAAAATATCTAGTGTGAGTGGATTTGGCCCTCTCTGAGCCCGAGAGTAGGTGTGCAGTAAAAGTTAAGGCTTGCTAGCTTGGAGTCTTATGGCTCCTTATGGGGCTGAGACTTGACCCTGTGACTCCAGCCTAGGGTTATGTAAGGATGTGGCTGACCTCAGAGGAGTCCACGGGAACTGTAGCTGTGCATCCGGAACCCATTTATTTGCTGACACTTCTCATTTCCTTTCAGAACAAACCTACATTCCTAGGCCTATACTTTTCTTGAGAAAATGGGTTTATTATAAGTCACTCGATAAAACACCCTACCATGGCTTCCCAGTACAAACTCTAGTTTCAATTAAGTCTTATTTTCTTGTTTCCTGAACTGATGATCCCCAAATGTATCTATCTATCTGTTCATTAGGATCACCTGAAGACCTATGAAAATGTCCAACGTCCAGGTCACACCCCAGACCAGTTAAATCAATCACTGAGGCTAAGATCAATATGTTTTTAAGCTTCCCAGTCGGAATTGGAATTTCAACCGCTGGTCAGTTTCTCCTATGCACACAGGTTGATATGGGCGCGATTGTGGGGCTGGTGTTGCCATCTCTCCCTCCCTATTAAACTTCTCCTACTAGAGCTACAATACTTTTAGGCCCTCGGATAGCTGTGCTTTTAGAATTCTTATCCTTCCACTGTTCTACCTCTTTTATTGAAGGCAGCCTTTCATACATGCATTTATTCTTTCATTCACTTACAAGAATATACTGAATATGGATTCTAGGAACTAGGAATGAATTGTTGACCTTGGGCTAGGGTGAGAACATTTGAATGGTTCTTCATGGTGACCCCCTTCCCTGCCCCCATAAAAGCCTCTCTCCTTCCTTCCTTCCAGTCCATTGATGCATGGGCCCAGGCAGTGCCAACCGTTTTCTTGCTTGTAGTCAGTGTCCCGCCTACCAATGCCTGCCTTCCCCTCCTGTTGGAGGGTATAGTAGTCTGTTTTCACGCTGCCAATGAAGACATATCCCAGAGTGGGTAATTTATAAAGAAAAAGAGGTTTAATGGACTCACAGTTCCACATGGCTGGGGAGGCCTCACAATCATGGTGGAAGGTGAGGAGGAGCAAAGTCATGTCTTACATGGTGGCAAGCAAGAGAGAAAGACAGCCAAGTGAAAGGGGAAATCCCTTATAAAACCATCAGACCTCATCAGACTTACTCACTACCATGAGAGCAGTATGGGGGAAACTGCCCCCATGATTCAAATATCTCCACCAGGTCCCTCCCACAGCATATGGGAATTATGAGAGCTACAATTCAAGATGAGATTTGGGTGGGGCACAGCCAAACTGTATCAGAGGGTCCAAATGCAACTCTTCTAGAGTTAACTACCAATTCCCAAAACCTCTTGACTGTTTGTTTCACAGAGATATTTTTTTGAGGTCGTAGTAAAAAATAATTTTAGAAACTTGCCCTGATAAGTCTGGGTTCCTGAAATTGAGGGGGTGAATCCTTCAGCCCTAGTAGCCCTGAATGAGTCCTGTCTTCTGAACTTGACTCCAAGCCTCCCTAACAGCAGCAGTGATGTCCTCAAATGACACAGTCAAAACTTTCACTAGATGCTTGTTGAGTGAAATTTAACAGATCATGTGATGATTGGAGAAAGGGAGGGAGGAAGAAAGGAGAAGAGAACAGGAGGGAGAGGAAAAGGGAGGAGACAGGCAGTAAGCCAGAGAGGAGAGAGACAAAGAGACACAGAATGGAACCGATTTTGAGATCCTACCTGTCCTGCCCATGGCCTTGTGGAGGACAGAGGAATGGGGCATCTGAGCTCACTCACACTGCCAATTTGAACTGTTCCGCCCTAGCCTCCCTCCCTACCCACCTGAGAGCATTGGGAAGCTGCTCCATGAAGGCTTTATACAAAGCAACACCATAGTAACTGTTTTCTCCACTAAAAGATGCCTATGCAGTGAAGCTCTGCATTCTTGTCTTCCCTCTCCGCAACTGGGAGCGTCTTCCACTCTCTCCAGCAAACCACTCGCCAGCCACCGAGTGACTGTATCTCATATTGTCACGACTGTCATTACCAGCATTAGTATTTTCTTTGTTCTTTCGCATTTCCCTGGCTCTGCTGGTCTGAAATGGGCTTTCCGTGACTTTAATTGGCTATCATCAGCCTTGAGCTCAGTGAGGCAGTCACAGAGTTCATTTGACTAAGGCACAAGCAGAGACGAAGTCTGAACAACTTGCTCAGGGTCTCCAGCTCCAGAGTCCTGCAGATGAGGGCTCACACTCCTAAGTTTACTATCCTTTCCTCAACCCCATCTTGTCCTTCCCCAAGGGGGAAATC